TGATTTGACTGGCGACGACATATTTATTAAACAAATATTTAGAATCTAGTTAGGTTAAGCAACCATATTACAATATACCTATAAGAGATTCTCTGTACCATGTTGTTATTATAGTGTAAAATTAAGAAGGCTTTCATCTATAACAATATTATTTGTCTATAAATGATATAATAATAAAAATATATATTTTATAAGAAAAGTTTTTATATAGAATTTAAATTATTTTACTTTGAAAATTAGATTTTTAATCTAAAAGAATAATCTTTAATATTTCATGTCTATAAACTATTTTTATAAAAATAAATTTTACAAGAGTTAAAACACTTGCATTTGGTACAGCTTGAGCTTCTAACTATTAGATTAAATAGTCTGTTATAATAATATTATATCTATTATTGCAAATATAATAGATAGTAGTTTTATTAAATCAATTCTACTTTTTTTAAAAGCTTATTAGAATATAAAAATTTTTTTCTTTTTACTTTGCTTCTTCTTTAACATTGATTATAAGTCTTTATATATTTAATTTTAATAATATTTTTCTAAGATCTTATAATGTATGCTATTAATTCCTAAATGTTTAGCAATAGAATAACATGCATTATATATAGGAAAATTATATTTATAATATCATGTTATATAACATCTTATGTAATATCTCAAAAATGTACTAAGTAAATAGGATCAGGTACTCTAAGTAAAAATGTTCAGGACCCCCAAAAACCTTATAAGAACTAAAATTGAGACCTATAAAGATCTTATATCTAATATATATTGTATAATAAAAAAACATCTATTTATCTTAAAGCTGGATCCTAACTCTAATTAAAACTATATAGGTGTTATATAACATAGATGTTATGAATATAATATTTCTTATATATAAAATAAGATTTATTTCTGTTTATTTAATAACTTTAAATAGGTTGTTTATAGATTTTTTGTTCTTTTAATACAAAAGTTTAATTTGAATTATAAATTTTTTTTTTTTTTTTTTTAAATATTAACGATGGAATTATAAAATATTTAATCTGATTAGTAAGTTGTTTTTATTAAGAAGTAGTAAAGTCTAAAGATATAATATTAAAACCTTTAAACCAACAACTTTTTCTAAAAATGACCAAATTCAAAACTAAATACTAAATTTTATTTGGCTAATATTTTGAAATTTTATTATGTTTTTAGAATTTTTATAAATTTTTAAAATTCTATTATGTTTTTTATATATATGTAACCAAAATTTTATTTTATTAATAATTTTAACAGGTAATAACATCATTAAAATTTATTGCTTACTTTTTTATATATATATTTTTATAAAAAAAATTTTCTTGTTACTATATTTTTTTTTTATTTTTTTATAAAATTATTAGTTATTACTTGTTGATTTAAAACGTCCTGCACTGTAGAAAAATTTTGTCCCTTTCCCCATTTCCTTATTTAGAATGTTTACCCCTGGTTGATTTGCTTTGCATAATCTCGGAAAAAATTCTGCATCACGTGACACGGTTACAAAAGATGGTCATAGCGGTAATTGTGCATTGTGTGTATTATATAATAATATTAGCAGATTACATAACTTTTTTGTTTAACAAAATGTCTACTTCTTTAAAAGGGAGTTGCTTTTGGTCAATAACAAAATTTCTAACCAGAGAAGCGAAGTGCTTTAATGACCCTCCTTATGATCTCATAATCTTAAATCAGCCTATCTCACGTCGGAATAATGTTTTCCACGCACTTTGGGAGAACGGTATGCTAATCAAAAATTTATCAAAATCAAACACATGTTCCGCTCATTGTTTTTATTATGTTGTATAAGCAAACTTGAAGATTTGTGCAGACGGCGGTGGGAACCAGTTGTATGAAGCTTTTGAAGGAACTGATAAACAACATATGTTAGTGCCACTAATTTAATCCATTATTGAGTGGTAACAATGTCCTCTTGGTGTTTAACATATGACCATTTATAGGTATATCCCTCACTATATCAGAGGAGATTTGGACTCATTGAGAGATGATGTTAGAGATTTTTATATTTCTAAAGTAAGCAAACATTCAATATATTATTTTAGCAAATACATTACTGAACATAAAGGCTACTTGATAAGGGCACCGAGGTTGAACAAGATCCGGATCAAAATTCCACAGATTTCATGAAATGCATTGAACTTGTTCGCAGAAAGGAAGGAGAATCTTCTGTAAAGGTATAGTAGCTTATTTTTAATACCTTGTACTCTCTGTTCATTAAAGCTATATATTTATTTTTTTACAGCACGAGATAGTTGCTCTTGGAACATTTGGAGGTAGAGTGGATCAAGCAATGTCAAATATTCATTACTTATATAAGCTAAAAAATGAGAGAAGGATTTACCTGTTATCAGATCAAAATATGACTATTTTACTTGACAAAGTATGATTTGTTAGTTTTATGTACTTCGCCGAATAAACCGAAAACTAATATCATGATTTTTGTTCGTTTGAAGGGAAAGCATCAAATACATTGTAATCAAGCTATTGAGGGCCCGAGCTGTGGAATAATACCCATTGGTATTGAAAGAGCTATTGTAACAACAACGGGATTAGAGTGGAATCTTAGTATGTTGATTTTCGTCACTCCAATCCCATTTTTTTCTATAAATTTCGTCGAATCTGATAGTACTTTTGTTATAGCGAATAGTTCCACCTCTTTTGGTGAGATGATTAGCACGTCTAACCACTTAATTAATGATATTGTAATGATCGAAACCGATTCTCCTATTTTATGGACAGTCGAATTAAAAATCTGATTATTACTGTTATTTTAGTCAGTAACTGAACTTTATTTAATTCTAAATTTGAACCCGATTAGATTTAGGACATTCCATTTTTTGAGAATAGGGTTTAGCCCGAAGCGTTACCAAATGCATTATCGACGGGTTTCTATAAGGAAAAACATTGTTTATTTATCGATTTTAAAAATAGATCATTTTAAGATGAATTTTACATTTACATACCAGTTCTCCCTGTTTACCAGATTCCCACTTTGCAAATTTAAGCCCTTGTTCGTCTCGCCTTTGTGCTATTAGCCGTTGTTCTTCTTTCAAGGCGTTACGGACTGCACGGGCACATATTTGTGTATATTTTAAGTAGCTGTATTTATACACGAATTCAAGTAAAATTGTTATACTATAATTAATATTATCTAAAATATGTGGTCATTTTTTATTTGGCTATTAAACGAACCTAATACCGGCGGCTTTCCAAGCAAAGCTCATTGTAGAAAGTTTCTAAGTTTAAAGTGACAGTTCAGTGTCGTACAATAGCAGACATTCGTCCTCATCATTTTTTGTCATTATGGTAACAATACGATTGGCCAATTTCTGAAATGTATCGTCACATATGCACCACATATATCATCTGACTTTAAACGAATTGGCTGCCACGAATCGAATACATATTTAGAAACTACACTTTCGCTCTATATACTGTCAAAATAATCACGAATATTCATGAGGGTTAGCTACATAACTTTTTTTTTAATTCAATTGTTATTTATACTATATAAGAATCTCTAAAACTAAAGAAATAGATCTCTAGTAAGCGAGTTTGTTCTAGTATGTTTAGATTATATTTGTTAGACAAAGACTATAGATTATAATATTGATGGAAGTCGAAATGGGTTCAGCTTTTTTAATCTTAAATCCAATAGGTAGAATTAAAAAATTTGTCGAACTATAGAAAGATAGGGTTGAGTTTTTACATGCAATTGTTTACTATTTCTTTTAATTTATTTACAGTAGACTAATTTAATTATTTTTTGTTATTATTTATTGTTAGCAATTTAGTTTTGGTTCAAGCTTTTTATAAACATATCTAACAGTCCGTTAAAATTTAAGATGTTGATGGTTTTTCCTTAGACCTAAGTAATAAATTATTGTAATTATTACTTGGGTTCATTTTAGTATAGGTCAATTAGCCAATCAGATCTTGTAAAATCATGATCTACAAAAATTAGCCAATCGGAATGAAAGCCCGCTATGCTCCGCATTTTATGTTCGTTGAATTTCTTTTTCGGCATTTTTCGGAAGGATAATATAAACTACAAAATCGGCCTAAATTTGATTGGTTGCTGTAATTTTTCAAGTATCATAGCATAACGATAAAATCAACTCATACAGGGGAATAAGTTTAACTAATGCCACTCATTAAGTAAAGCTGCCTAGCTGATAATTTTGGTTGCTAAATGCCGGCCTAAATCCGATTGATCCGACCCGGAAATTTGGTGATCCCCTGTAAAAAATATTAGGGTTCTGAAAAAGAGCCTCTAAAATAATATATGACGAAAGTATATGAAAAAAAGTTAGGATTAGGATTCGTTTTTAGAATCCTATCAGGAACAGTACCCAAATAAATTTTTTTAACACTATCAAGACGGTACTGCCGGTCCATCAGGAATATATAGTATTTTTGCATGCTTTACCTAAACCTTAAACTCATTGATAATTTTTTAAATTCTGTATTATATATGGATGTGTGGCGATGATATAATTTAATATTATTGCTTCAACAAATTAATATTAGCAAATTTCAAGAAGCAAATTAGAAATCGGGTTTAATAAAGGATTATTATATTTCGACAAATACAATATGAATTTCTACAAGATAACTTCGATACAGCATAACGATAACCGACAATAGGCTACTTAAACACATCAAGACCCTGATCAAAAAAATCAAGAACGCGAAAAATTTTGTATTTGAGTGCTGTCCAATTAAAACCTGGTGCTAACCTTAGAAATTTGCTATGATCAGTTACTGGTTTTAATTTAGAGGCACAAATTTCTCTATGTTGTCAATGGATTATTAAGATCATTATCACAAAACAATAATAAAAAGTATTAAAATTTAATTACAATCTATATATCTTTTTTTGATTCACAAGGAAAGGCATTATATAGTCAAAAAAACCGAAATACAAATACAATAACCGAAATAATTAATCGATTAATCTTTTTCGTTGGAAGAATTTCTTGAGATAGATGATCTGCCAGCAACCCAAGCAAACAAGCACAAACATGGTGCCAAGACTGAACCATTTGACACGCTCATTTGTAGATTCTTTTAAAATTAACGGATGTTAACAGTAATACGATGAATATTTCGAAAAAAAATTCTAAAATTAAAAATACCATTTGTATCTCTCATTCTAGCCTCTCGTTTCCGTAGATATTCCATCTCGTCTACGATTTCTTGTACCACTTGTTCCAATTTTCGAAGCTCTGCTTCCATAGGTTTCAGTTTTTCGAATTGATTAGGATCTATGGCTTCCGCTCCTATGTCTATGTCCAGATCAATCGTACGATGATATTGCGGATTGGGTTGGAATCCTTTATTTTGAAAAGACCTCAATATTTAAAATTGAGCAACTTTATTAGAATGCATAATTTGTAATTTTACCTTCATCCAATGCATTTGTAAAGCAAACTGATATATCCGCATTAGCATGCGTCGTAAAAGCCAAACGAGTTTCTTCACTAACATCCCGTTTATGTCCATATTTGTTGTTCGCATCGCTATTGTCGGTTACCTAAATTTTTGAACATGTTATTTCTATTCACATCAAAAAAGTATTAAAACATTTAGGTTTAAGACCTGTTCACTTTACCTCGACATCTATTTTTTGATTATACCCGACTCCAACCTTTACTGTTACTACTACAAGTGTATTAGTGGTTACGTATTGCGAAATGCATTTTGGCACTACGCTGTGCCCTGGTTCCGCTGAAAGATCAAATTTTATTCCCCATACTATAGAGGTCGAAAGAATATATAAAAGAAATAGAAAGAAAGAAAATTGATATGACATTCTAATGAATAGAATCGGCGAGGACCAAGTTTCAAAAAAAAAAAACACTAATTTTTATTGTATATCGATATCAATTTAAAATGCTTAAAAAAAAAAAAAAAACTTAATTTATTTGCCGTTGCCAGGAATCGAACCTGGGCTAGCGCGGCCACAACGCGATGTACTGCCACTATACGACAACGGCATATAATCACATGAATGTCCTTTTTTTTTTTTTATTTGTTCTGATTTTGTTACTGTAACTTTCTTCAAATTGATCAATGTAACATTTCACAAGCAAAAAATAAACATTATCATATTTATCTTTAGTGAAGCTTCGACAGTTACTATGCAAAAGAATTCAAAAAGTTTCATAGCCCAGAACAGTGTTCAGCTATTTCTAGCATCTAAAATAGCACTATTGATATCACGAAAACAGCCAAATTAAAATTCGATAAAATTTTTCTTATTTTATTTTATGATCGAATTAAAATAAAACAAATCTGGTTGAATTTGTTATCGCTATGTGGTTGTCGTAATATCGTTAGCTATTTTAGATGCTAAATAGCTGGACACACTCTAGCCTAGAAGCATTTTGCTTAGAAGATAAAATTTCCACGTACGTATATTAGTGAGATTATTAATCTTACTACTGTACTACACAAATAATAAAAAATCAGTGCATGTCTAATTGTGGCATAGTGCGACATCATCGAAATATATTAAGTTTATTACAATAGACATAATAGACATGTACTAATTTTTTACCATTTCGTGTAACAATATTACTCTTATGAGGCGTTTTGACTCATATTTAGGGATGTTAAGCGTTCCAAAAGAACTTAAGTTCCAGACCGTTTATTGAGGTTTTTAAGTAGTTAGTTCGGTCTT